TTAAGTGTCATCTTTTAGCATGATTTTATTCTGTGTGTAGGGAAGAGGATAAGGTAGGGTGAGTGCTATTTGAAAATTTGGGCATTCCTACAAGTGTCAGAATGTTTTCCAGTCATACTAGAATTGAACTTCAGGCCTAGTCTACTCCAGGCTTATAAGATCTGAACATTCTTTCCAGTCGTAAAACAGAAATGGTATTAGTGTAGGGTTATAAATGATTTTACTTTCACATTTATCTTGACTTGTATAGATTTACAGTGATTATTATAAGTTTAATAATATAAACACCAAATCAGAGACTGGCATGACGAAGGCTTTTTATATAATTGACTTGGATATGTTTTGATAGTATTAAGTAACAAAGAAATAGTTTTATATAAAATTACTGTTATGCTTTTATTATTCTAGATTGAGGCTTGAGAAACAAGCCCGCCTCAAAGCAAGAAAGCAAAGTTTAGAGAAAAAGAAAGAAAAACGTCTTCAAGAAAAGTTTCCACATCTTGCTGAAGCTCAGAAGTCAAGTTCTGTCTAAAAAGTCTGACTTGTTAATTTACTATGTGTTTTTTCTTGTATAATAGTCTATATTCAAAAGTAAATATATGTTAAGTTGTTTATAAAGAAATTGTGCTTTTGATCAAATGACCTATCAGTTGTCCTGAGGGTTAACATAGCATGTAAATTGTCAAAGAGGTCTGTCGCCTATAAGATTTTTACAAATCCAGCATAAAGTTCAGATTAAATTAAATCCTGACATCTAAAGAGGCGTTAATATTCCCTGCTTATCTTAGAGGGTATAGAACCGCCAAAGCTAAGGCAATAAGTTAGTATTTGGAATTCAGATAAACTTTTTAGTATTACTTATGAATATGAAATGAACCATATGAGGACACTATTGTTAAATAAACAGTAAACACTTTCACTGAAAATAATGATTAAAAATACCTTTAGCTGGGGCTGGGGTTGTAGCTCAGTGGCATAGCACTTGCCTAGCATGTGTGAGGCACTGGGTTCAATTCTCAGCACTGCATATAAATAAATAAACAAAATAACATCTTAAAAAAATTTAAAATATAGCTTTGGTATTTAAAAGTAGCAAGTCACAGCATACAAGAGTCCAAAAATATTTCTGGAATGGCTAGTAATTTTTATTTAAATTTGCAAGCCTGAGGTAAAAGCATAGGCAGTAACTTTTACTAGTCAATAAAAAGCAATTCTACCACCCACTGGTAATTAATATACTAAACAGAGTTGGAAAGCATTTTACTGAAAGCAAAATATTTAGAGAAAATAGACATTTATACAAAATTATAAAATGCTTGTAATAAGAATAAGTGCATTTCAAGGAAAGCACAAACCCATTTTAATTTATAGAGCTAGTTAAAGCCTTAAAAAATTTAAGTGGAAATTGAAATATGCAAAAATGTATAAACATTCTACAAAAGATGGTCAATCTTTCCTGAGTATACTAAAGCTATGAAACGTAAGGTGACACAGGAAGGTAGAGTTTTGGGAACTCTTTTTCAAGGACATTTCCTTTCTACACATTGTTTCCCTCCTTCTTCATATTCTTGTTTGGAAATCCACATCTGCTGAAAGGTGCCCTGTAAAATGGAAAGAAATAATTTTTGCCTTACTTATTAATGAAAAGTATATTTTGCTTTTAATATCTTTGTTTTAACAACTCTTAAACTTTGAAGAACTTTTAAACTCCCTTTCTAAACAAAGTACTCCATAATTCCTCCAGACCCATCCCAAGATACAATGTAAACTTGCCTTTCAGGTTATAAAGAATATTAAATCCTTTTATACCTGTGAATCTGTGTAGAACTTAGAAAATGGCTGTCAAGGAAGACTAGAGGGTACTGCTTGTGATGGCTAGTTGCCAACTTAAGGCAACAACAGAAATCACTGGAAAGCCTATGTACTTAGTGACATTTACTCAGCTACTCTGAGGCAGAGGGGAAATCCCACAAGTGTAGGATCCAGAAAATCACAAGGACTTTTCCTCTTGATTCAAGGCAGACACCAGTCCAAAA